GCCCCTTCCGCACCATGGGGATGGGAGCTCTCCGAGGACAAGGACCTGTCCACGGAAAGAGGGAAACTGTAAAGTACTGGAAGAGATTCATTCTGAGTCAAATATGAGTGACTATGTCCCATGACACAGCCCTCGTGTGACCCTGGGAACAGGCCCCCAGGTGTTTGGGATGCAGCTTGATTTTATACCTGTCAGGAAGACATGAGACATCAGTCAGAATACATGTAAGATTGACATCGGTTTGGTCCAGAAAGTGGGACAACTCAAAGCAGGGGCTTCCAGGTTATAGGTAGATTTTAAAACATTCTGATTAACTGTGCACAGTGGCTCACACCTGTAATCCCAGCACCTTAGGAGGCTGAGGTGGGTGGATCATTTGAGGTCAGGAGTTCGAGACCAGCCTGGCCAACATGGTGAAACCTGCTCTCTACCAAAAATACAAAACTTAGCCAGGCATGGTGGCACGTGCTTGTAATTTCATCTATTCAGGTGGCTGAGGCACAAGAATCGCTTGAGATGGGAGGCGGAGGTTGCAGTGAGTCGAGATTGTGGCATTGCACTCCAGCCTGGGCAACAGAGTGAGACCCTGTCTCAAAAAATAAACATAAAGTGTTCTGATTGGCAGTTGGTTGAAAGAGCTAATATCTAGAGAAAGGAATGTCTCTTTGTGGCGTCTAAGGTTTCGTCATGCAGATGAAGCCTCCAGGTAGCAGGCTTCAGAGAGAATAGACTGTAAATGTTTCTCATCAGACTTAAGGTCTGTGTTGATGTTAAATGCTGGTGGGCTTTTCCTGAATTCCAAAGGGAGGCAGGCATAGTGAGGCCTGTCTGAACCCTGCTTCCCATCATGGCCAGATCTAGTCTTCTAGGTTAACTTTGGGGTGCCCTGGCCAACTGGATAGAGTCCATTGAGATGGCCGGGGAGCCCTAGCATTTGATTTTTGGTTTACAGACGGCAAGTCAGACGTCCCTGGCATCTGGCCAGGGTGCTCAGCGGAGGTGAGAAGGATGTGGTCCTAGCTGCCCTGTCCCCAGTGCCGCCTGCCTCAGGCGTTTGTGGTCATTTGACACACAAGCCACGAAGCACCTACCGTGTGCGCTCTGGGATTGGGCACTGTGAACAGAGAGGTGAATAAGACCTGAGGGGTCCCTGCCCCCAAGGAGCCCCCGTCTGGTGGGGGAGACAGATGTGGATGGGCAGACATGATGTGCAGGATGCTCAGAGGTGCTGTGACAGAGAGGGGCCCAGGCCCAGCTGGCGGTGGTCACAGGTGGCTTCCTGGAGCTGTGGCTGATGGCCCAGTCTGGTTCTGGCTCTGGGTGGTGTGTCTGAGAAGCCAGTGATCTTCAGGGGACTGAACGTGGGTTTCAGGACCCTGGGGTGGGAAGGGGGTGGCCCTGTGCCTGTGAGTAGCCCAAGGTAACCCCCAAGAACAATGAAGGTGGCCACAGGGACAGCTCAGCTCAGAGGGGTCCCTGCTCTGGCCAGGGGCTGGGTGACTTCAGTGGAGGAAGCCTGGACTGGCCAGGCTGGTCCCTTAGGCTGTGGGTTTCCAAGGTGGGTCTCCTTTGGAAAAGTTAAGAGTGAGGTCTCCCCCGTGCACAGAGGCCTCCGTGATGGCTACTGTGGGTGGGAGCCCAGGAGGAAGCTGGAGACTGTGGGGGCCGTTGAGGAAGAAGGAAACAGGCTTCTTGAGACCAAACATAGGGCCGTTCCAGCTGAATGGGAGCGAGACGGTCCTGGCAATTCTCAGCGGTGGCCAAGAGCAGTAGAGCAAGGCTTGGCATTGGAGTTCTGCTCTGCCTCCTCCCAGCTGTGTGACCTGGTGCAAGTCACTAGCCCTCTCTGAGCCTCAGCCCCTCGGCTTTCACATGGAGATGAGAGGGGTCAGACCATGTGACCCTAATGACAGGCCTCCCCAGTGGCTATAGAAGGACAGCTGCCTCCCTGGGGCCAGGCAAAGCTGGTGGGGATTGGAGCCAGGTGAGCTCCCAGCCCTTCCATCTCTGTGGGTCTGAACAAGGCGCTTGTACTGGGGCCTGGGAGAACATACGGATGTTGAGTTCCATTGCCAAGCACCTTTGTGCGAGTGGAGTCGGGTAGGGAGAAAGTCAGAAAAAGCTCCAGCCTCCTCCCACTGGGGAAAATCAGGCCTACTCAGCTCCCTTCTGACTCCTCCCCACCCATCACAGAGCTGGAGACTGAGCCCAGGAAGGGGAATGAAGACAGTGACCGGGCTGCCCCGCCCAATTCCCTCAAACATGCAGAGAGCAATCCCCACCCCTGGCCCGGTGCTGAAACCGGCCAACACTCCCTCCCTCCCATTTGTACCAAGGCACAGTTGGAGGCTGTGAAACATTCCTCCGGAGCCTGCGAGACTTTCTTGCACTGCTGTTGGTGTGCTCAGCTTAAGGGAATCTTTCTTCTAAAACACCCAATGTTTGTCTGCTTTGCAGAGAAGACGGTTCTCTGTCAAGGTCATCTCCTGCGCCCACCTTGAGCTGAAATAATAGTGGAGAGAATTTTTCAGTGCTAAGCCCCTCACGTGCCTCATCCCTGATCTAATCCTCAGAAACGGAAAACCTCTCAGGGAAGCGGTGCCGGGGGATGGAGAAGGACGCTGAGACTCAAAGGGTGTTTCGATGTATTCATATAAAATGTATGCAGCCGTCATCTTGGCCTGGAAAACGTTCGACCTGGCCCAGGAACAGTGGACCTCAGAACTAGCTGTCCACTTTGCAAACAGCAGGTGGTGTTGGGCCATCCTGGGCATGACTGAGGACCCAACCCTTGCCAGCCTGCAGAAATCTGTGGTCCCAGGGGGCAGGCAGACCCCGGAGTTGATGCCCACCTGGCATGTAGCCCCAGGCCTGAGGGAGGCCCAAGGAAGCTAGGCAGACCTCCTAGAGGAGGAGGCGGCAGAGGCGGCGGCAGCTGCCAAGCTAGGATGTGAGGAGACACGGGGCGTAGAGAGGAACTGGGCCAGTTGAGCGGGGCAAGTGCAGAGGTGGCAGACAGGCAGTGGAGTGTCATGCCCACTCCCTCCTCTCCTTCCTTTCTAGATGCAGAATCAAGTTTGCACTCAGGGTTGCCCGGGCGCCACCCGCATGCCTCACAGGGTTGTCCCGCTGCTGCACGTGGCCCCACGTCCCGCGCTTGTGTTGCCCATCCTCGTTGGTGTGCGCTGAGTGTAGGAGGCGCTGGTTGTCACCCACGCCAGCCGCCGCACCGTGCCCAGCCTGAGTCAGGCAGCTGGGGCTTCCCCGATAAACGCACCTGGCCTGGGCGGCTTGCGCAGCAGAAACCCACCTTCCCACAGCTCTGGAGCCCAAAAGGCCGGGATCACAGCGTTAGCTGGGGTGGTTTCTCCGTCGTTGGCTCGTAGATGCTGCCTGCGCCTCCATGTGGCCTCCCTCTGTGTGTCTGTGTCCTGATCTCTGCTCGTAGAAACCCCAGGCATAATGGATTAGGGCCCATCCTAGTGACCTTTTCAAAACGCTGTCTCCAAATACAGCCGCATTCTGAGGTCCTGGGGGTTAGGATTCAACCTACGAATGTTGTCACAGATCAGCCCATCCACTGTGGTGCCTCCCGGGCTGCAGGCACCGCTGGATGGATGGACCCTTGAGATGGGCGGGACAGAATTGTTGGGGGTGGCAAGAAAAGGGTCTGCTCAGAAAATGAGAGAGGAGGGAGCTGCAGTGGGGGCTGTGGTCGGGGTGGGAAACCATGGATGCAGTAGAGGACGTGGGGGACGTGGGGGCCGTGGGGAGAGTGAGGGCTGGGCTCTTGGCTGCTGAGGGCTGGGGAGGCCTCTGTGGAGACGGACTCCTTTTGGACAGGGTGAATAGGAGGCGTGGGGAAGGCCAGGCAGGTGGCCCAGGAGTGAGGGCTGAACCAGGAGAGACCCCTTCCCTGCAGGTGGGGAGAGACAGGTGCAGCCAGGGGTGTGGGGACCACAGAAGGAGCGTGTCCACAGGGCTGGAAGGGGCTGAGGTGGGGGAAGAGGCAACAGTCATGAAAACCATCAGCCCAGGGGACACAGCAGGTGTAGTCTGGGAGGGAGGAGTGGACCAGACAGCAGCAAGCATGCAAGGAGGACACAGGTCCCGGGGTGACGGCAGCAAAAAGGCCAGGACAAGCCCAGAGGTGCGATGGAGAGAGTGGCTGCCAGGGGCCTCCGAAGGGTCATTTCCAAGTTGTGTGTCAGGTGGGAGCAGGTGCTCCTTGAGCTAAGACAGCCTTGGGGGACCGTGGGAGGGTCAGAGGGCATGGAGAACAGAGCTGGGGGCCAAGCTAGAGAGGGTCTTGAGGGTGACCAAGATGGTCCCATGTTCCCAGGAACCTGGGCCAGTGGACTCAGCTGTAGCGAGTCCCCATAATCCCGGTGGAAAATGACGTCTCTGAGCATAACTGGAGTTTGTGGAACGGCTTGTGTGTCACTCTGCTCCCATGTGGCCCGCCGCATCTGTCTGATGCTAGCTTTTCAGTCATTCAGCCAAGCTTGTGGGTTTATTCTAAGAATCCCTTCAGCCCCAACTTTATTTATTTATTTATTTATTTATTTATTTATTTATTTATCTGTTTATTTATTGAGATGGAGTCTCTCTCTGTCACCCAGACTGGAGTACAGTGGCACGATCTCGGCTCACTGAGCTCTGCCTCCTGGGTGCAAGCGATTCTCCTGCCTCAGCTTCCTGAGTAGCTGGGATTACAGATACTTGCTACCACACCCAGCTAATTTTTGTATTTTTAGTAGAGACGGGGTTTCACCATGTTGGTCAGGCTGATCTCAAACTTCTGACCTCGTGATCTGCCCACCTCCGCCTCCCGAAGTGCTGGGATTGCAGGCGTGAGCTACCACGCCCGACCCAGCCCCAACTTTAAAGAAACACCCCAGTGCACTGGCGTGGCTGCTGGAGTGCAACTCCTGACAGTCACCTCTGGAGGCCCCGAATGTTGGTACCTGGCTTCAATCTCTTCCTCTCTCCTTTCTCAGGAAACCAGAACTTCCTCAGAGAGCATCATTTCTGTCCCTGCTTCCAGCACCTCAGGGTCTCCGAGCCGTGTGATTTATGTAAGTCGGGGCCTTTTTTATGGGGACGGCAGTGGGAGGGTGGAAAGAGAAGGGGGGCCCGGTGGCCATGGCTGAGCCTGCCCCTAAAAGAGTTCCCTGAGAGCTGTCATCTGGGGCCTGAGGTACGGCCATTGCTCTTGTCCCTGCTTCGGGGTGGAGGTCGGTACAGGCTTTATGAGTTTGACTGAAAACCTGAAACACAGAATGTTTGTTTGACCTGGCAATTCCCCTGGGAACCTCTCCCCAATTATCTGGTGACAAGAGCCACACGGTGGTGTGTACACAGCTGCTGTTTATAGTGGCGCGAACACGTCACATCAACGGCTGACAGTCAGGGCTTGCCAGGCACCCAGGCGGACCCTGCAGGTTTTGCAAACCACGGCCCAGATCTGTATAGACCAGCATGCACGTGCTCCCGACGCCTCCCTAAAAGAAGCACGCTAAGGGTGATGTAAATTATGTGATCCCGTTTTCGTTAAAGAGAGAGAGACTGTGTGTGTGTGTGTGTGTGTGTGTGTGTGTGTGCGTGTGCGCGCCTCACATGCTTCCATAAGCACACACAAATATAAAAATGATTGAAAACATTTTAACAAGTCGTTACCAGAAATTTCCTCTGGGTGGTGGGATTCGAAATGGGAGATTATTGTTACTATTATTTGCTAATATTGCTGTGTAAATACCAAAATTCCTTATCTAGGCAAGGACCCCCAGCACCAGGTGAGGGATGGCTGATGCGGTGGTAACCAGGGGCCACCCAGGACTGCTGCGTAGGCTGCCCCTGCACCAGAACCCAGCACTGGAATGGCTGGTGACGTGGGACAAGCCCCTTCTCCCCTCCCCGTCCCCACCAGGCCAGGACCTGGGTTCTCTCTGCCTCAGCGGAGGCTGGATCCGCTGGGTTTCCAGGCTCTGGAACTTTGAGACAATGTATTGGATCCGCTCCCTGCTGTGCTTCTTTTCTGCCCTTCTCCCTCGTAGTGGTTGGACACAGGGTCCTTCCTGACCTTAATCCTGACAGTGACCGTGAGGAGCGCACGAGTCCTCAGTTACTGTGATGCACTGCTGGCCTGGAGGGTGAGTGGCACTGTGGCCCTTGGGACGTGCACTCCAAAGCTTAGGCGGGTGCATGAAGGCACCGGGTTGGCTGTGTGCCCTGGACGAGGTGCCACCCGCCTGGTGCCTCTGGGAGTGCCTCGGTAAGCCGTGGAGACCCCCGGGTACCTTCAGTCCAGGGCTCACTGAGGCACTGCCTGGATGACTGTGAGCACAGCACCTGCCCAGAAGAAGGCTGTGGGAGATGCTCGCTGCCGTTACCATTACCATCATCTGTGTCGACCTCCCGGGGGCTTGAACACCGGAAATAAATTGTCTCAAAGTTCCAGAGCCTAGAAACCCAGGATCAAGGAGTCGGCAGGGTTGGTCTCCCCATCCCTGGCCCGCGGGTGTCCGTCCTCTCCTTGCGTCCTCACGGGTCGTCTGTGTGCATCCGGGTCCTGATTTCTTCCCATTAGCACACCAGGCAGATTGGATTGGACCCACCCTAACGGCCTCATTTTAACTTGATGACCTCTCTTAAGGCCCTGCCTCCAAATGCAGTCACCTTCTGAGATCCTGAGGGTTAGGATTTTACCGACATGGGAATTCGGGGAGACACAGGTCAGCCCATAATACCATCAGCATCCTCATGAATAATGGTTATGACAGTTATCCTGTGAATGAGATCATGTTTGTGTAGGGGCACAAAAGTGTGGTCTGTTTCCTCACCCGTTGAAAGGGTCACAGCTAACACTCCTATAACAAGAGACAAGTTCACAAGAGAAAATGTATTTAATCAAAGTTTTAGGTGATACAAGAGCCTTCAGAAACGAAGGTGCAAAGACCCAGGGAGGACTGTCCTTTGTAATTTTGGTTTAGAGACAAGGTCTCGCTCGCGCCCAGGCCGGAGTGCAATGGTGAGATCATGGCTCACGGCAGCCTCAACCTCCCGGGCTCAGGCGATCCTCCCACCTCAGCCTTCTGAGTAGCTGGGACTACAGGCACGCAGCATCACACCTGGCTAGTTTTTGCATTTTTTGTTGAGATGAGATACTTTTATGTTGCCCAGGCTGGTGTTGAACTCCTGGCCTCAAGCAATCCACCTGTCTCAGCCTCCCAAAGTGCTGGGATTACAGGTGTGAGTCACCATGCCTGGCCAACACTCTTCTTTTTTTTTTTTTTTTGAGATGGAGTTTCACTCTTGTTGCCTAGGCTGGAGTGCCATGACTCGATCTCAGCTCACTGCAACCTCCACTCCCTGGGTTCAGGCAATTCTCCTGCCTCAGCCTCTCAAGTGGCTAGGATTATAGGCATGCGCCACCACACACAGCTAATTTTGTATTTTTATTAGAGATGGGGTTTCTCCATGTTGGTTAGGCTGGTCTCAAACTCCTGACCTCAGGTGATCCACTCGCTTTGGTCTCCCACAGTGCTGGGGTTACAGGCATGAGACACCGCGCCCGGCCTATTTTTATGCTTAGATTGGATGATAACTGGACGGCCATGTAGAAACGTGACTGGACAAAAAGTGTGTGATCTGGTGAGAATAGACCGCATGGGGAAACAGCAGGGCCGTCCGCTCAGATGCTTCTCCTCTCTGGGGAGCCCTTCTTCCTCCAGGTACAGGGCGGGGGGTCTTAGGACCCACCCTTAGGCAAGCTAGGTCAGAGAACGTCTCCATGGCCAGGTCGTGCACAGAATGAGGGAAAGGTTAGACTCATGTTTCTAGGCTTCATGGCTGGCTTTGGGGAGGAGCTTCTAGTTTCTATGACCCGCCTTGGGGAAGAGGAACTCTGGTTTCTATGGGTCACTTTAGCAGGGGCGGAAAGGAAGCGGGTGAGAGGCAGAAGGGCAGGAGGCGGTCAGAGAGACCCTGCTTCCGAGGCCTTCCACTCTCCCTTAGATCAAAGTCCTCAGCAAGCTGGGGCTCTGTACTTTGGGGTATTGTTTTCTGAACCCCAACATGTGCAAAGTACTCGGCATCTGGCCTGGTGCCTACTAAGCGCTCATTCATGGTAGCTGTTGCTGTTGCTGTTGCTGTTGCTGTTGCTGCTGTTGTTGTTGTTGTTGGAACCTGCGTGGCACATAATAACTGCTCATTAAATATGAGCTCATTTTTTTTTTTAACAAACTGGCATTTGCAAGGGGCGTGGAGTGGTAGTAACTGTGTGTGCATGCAGTAAGCAGTGACAGCAGCCTCTGTTGTCATGGTCCCGCTTTCAAGGCCATGCAGCACTTTTTCAAGGCAGAGCTGGGCTTGGAGCCCACAGGTCTCCATGACTCTGAGACTTGGGTTTTTCCAGGAGAACCCACTGCTCAGTGTTGTGAACAGCCGTGGTGGCTCCTTTTCTTCTTGCATCAGGCAGCACATGGGCGAACACAAGCTCCCTGTGGAGCCCTGGGGACCCAGCCAGGCCGGATAGCATCCCGGTTCTGGGTAGGGGAAGGGGTTCCTGTCCACAGGAGAGATCGGGGCAGACCCAAGTGCGGGTTTCAGGTGGGACGCCTGCCAAGGGATGGGGCAGGATGTTGGTGGGTGAAGAATTTCTGCACCAGTGGGGCGTGCACTTAACCCAGGTTGACTGCAGCCTGGTGCACTGTGTCTCCGCTTTGATGGACTTCCTGCTTGGCCAAGTAGGTGTGCTCACAATTCCAGTTTTAAACAGAAGGCCTCGAGTAAATTAATCCAGTCTCCCGGCCCTTAGTTTGACACGAGAGAGAATGCGTGGAGTGCCATGCTGCCTCCTGTTGGCCTCAGAGCTGTCCAGGGACCTGCCATCAGTGTGCCCACGTTGCTGATGCCACGTTGCTGATGCCACTCTGAGATATGCGCTGACTTTGCAGCCTCTAAGTGGTGGAGCCATAATCCAAGGACACATGCTCCTAATTCTGGCACGTGCTCCAAGTACCATGGTCAGCACCCAGCCTGGCTGCATCCCAGCCCTCCCAGGGGTCACACAGGCCAGAAGCCAGGGCAGCCCTGCTCTCTCTCCCATCTTGGGGTTGGTGCCACACGAGTGGGTAGTGCACACAGTCTGGCTCTTCACCGAGATGATGTGATTTGGTGGACAAGCCCTCCTTATCCCAGGGTTGTGTCCCGCTTTTCTTTTTTTCTTTTTTTCTTTTTTTTTTTTTTGACGGAGTCTCCTCTGTTGCCCAGGCTGGAGTGCAGCGGCACAATCTTGGCTCACTGCAACCTCCGCCTCCCAGGTTCAAGCAATTCTCCTGCCTCAGGCTCCCAAGTCACTGGGATTACAGGCACATGCCACCATGCCTGGCTAACTTCTGTATTTTTAGTAGAGGGGTCTTACCATGTTGGCCAGGCTGGTCTCAAACTCCTGGCCTCAGATGACCCACCTGCCTTGGCCTCCCAAAGTGCTGAGAGTACGGGTGTGAGCCACCGCACCTGGCCTGCCCTGCTTTTCATCTCACCTCTGCTGGTGTCTGTCATCAACCTACTGTGTGCCTGGCCCCCTGCTTTGTGCTGAGCACTCCCATGGTCTCAGATAGAGGCCGTTCCATGCCCCCATCGTGGTGCTTTGCAGGTTGCAGTTGCCCAGCCCTGCCTGCTGTGGGTGGTTGTGAAATGCAGCATCCCCTTCCTTCACTGTCAGGAAGAGACCAGCTCCCCCTGCCATTCACGTACACAGGAATGGACCAGAATCCACCAAGTGACTGCATCTCCTCCATGGACCGTGAGGGCTTGGTGGGCAGGGCTGGGCCTCGTTCATCTTAGTTTCCAGGATAAAACGTGCACACATGGTAGACCCTCCATAAACCATGCGGCTTTTGGACATCACCTGTTTCACTGCTCTTTTCTTTATTCCAAAGGCAATCTGCATTTATTTTAAAAAAAGAAAAAAAAAAAAACAGTAATCAGCACACCAGAGGAAATGAAAGCGTTTACATCCTGCCAGCCACAGTGGCCCTGCCGATGCTTCTGAGGCACCCCTCAGGTCTCGCTTCTGTGTGTGTGTAATTTTTACAACATGGAGTCACCCTGAACATATTATTTTGTAACCTTTATTTCAACATGTCAGTAGTGCAGAGCATAAAAGCAGCGTGCTTCCATTCTGTGTTATCATTGACTGGGTTATATGGTAATGATACTGTCGTAGGTGGCCATATTAGTGTGTATTGTGCTGGGTGGAGTGTGGGAGGGAAGAAAGCAAAGAGGAAAAACCCTTTACACATACTCGAGAGGCCTTCCGCCAATTAGAGAGTGCCGTCTGTTGTCATGGCAACCACCCAAGGACTTGGCATGGGGAGAAGTGGATCTGCAAGGCTACTTAGCAACCTGTCTAGGGGGTCGGGCAGAGGCTGTTGGCATCCTGCAGGCTGCCCTCTCTGACCCCTGCCGTCAGGGCCGGGTGGTTCAGGGAAGCCTGAGGAAGGCTGGGAACTAACCCAGGGCAAGGCGGCCCCCTATGCTGTGGGGCTGGACAGATGAATGCTGTGATCATCGCTGCTGGGAGGGGACGGAGGTGGGGAAGGGAGGATGCAACACACACCTCTCCAGGCATCTGGCTGAGAGTTCACCTGACTTTTGCAAATGCTTGATTGGCTTTCGTTCAATTCACAAGCCCGCTGTCAAGCTCACAGCCGGGCAAGGGACTCAGTAATGAATCCTGGACCTCCAGGAGCCACAGTCTTGGGGGGATACAGGATGACTCAACAGATGAAGATCAACACTAACTCGGGGCAGGGGGGCCTCCACTGAGTTTGGAAGGAACAGAGGTGGAGCTCAGGGAAGGTGTGTGGGAAGGACACGTCCCAGAGAGAGAACAGCAGGTACAAAGCCCCCAGGCTGTGGGTGACTGGGAGCTGTAAGGACTTGAGTGCCAAGTGGCATGGATAAGTGGGTAAACAAGCACCAGAGTTCCAATTTCCCGGAAGGCAGAGGGGAATTGCTGAAAATCCTACAGGATCAGATCTACAAATGACTGACTCAGGATTGGATCTCAGGTCTTTTGAACCCTGCCCCAGGCTCCAAAGGGGCAGCCACAGGTCTGAGACGTCAGAACTTCATTCTCTTTATGCACATCGCAAATGACAGGGTTCACCCCAAGACCCAACATCTCAGGAGAACCTCAAGCCTGGTGATCAGGGAAGACTTCATGGAGGAGGTGGGCTGGGGGCTAACAGAGCTGGAAGAATACAGGAAAGCTGGAGTAGGGGGCTGAACCTGGCACAGTTGGGGACATGGGGAAGAGACAGCTTAGGGTGAAGCTGCCAGGAACAGGAGGGCCAAGTTTGGGGGCCACAAGGAGTACTGGTATTGTCCAGCTGAGGAGGGGCTCCTGGAAGGTTTGAGCTGAGAACACTGGGATGCATCTGGGCCTGAGAGGCGTTCCCCTGGCAGTGAGGCCTGGAAAGGGGAGAGCTGTGGTGGGGAGCATGGGCTCTGGAGTCAGACAGCCAGGGTCACGTCCTGCCCTCCACCCTCCTGGCTCTGTGACTCTGGGCAAGTTACCCAACCTCTCTGGGCTCTGGCTTCTACATTGTGAAAAGGAGCTTCTCTGAGCACCCCTTCTTGGCATCATTGTGCTTTGTGAAGATGATGGAGGGCTCAGCTCAGTGCATGTCTTGGGGTAGAGAGCTCATTGTGTCCAGAGGAGGCTGAGGCTGGATCGAGAAGCAGCAACAGCAATCTCTACCAGAGTCACCTGTGGCTGGAAAATGCCCCAGGCAGCTCCTGGAGAGCCCAGAGCCAGGGAGAAGGGGACACGCAGGGGCAAGAGTGTGTGCACAGCGCACAGTGGGGTACTGCAGGGGAAGGCTGGGCAGAGTCAGAGCGGAGAGCAGCACGCACCAGCTGGACCCCCCTGAGCAGACACAGGGGTTCTCCCCGCCTTCCACATTCATTCAGCAAGGGCAGGAGCGCCTCTGCGGGCCAGGGTGGGCCAGGGGTAGACAAGACAAGGGCCCCCGACCCTGCTGAGGGGGTGTCTCAGCTGGCCTGTCAGATGCCGGGTGCTTTGCTGCCGGAGTGCATGTGAATGTGTGTGAGTGCGTGTGGGCATGGGGGGCGGTGAATGTGAACTTGCTTGGTGGCGGTGGGGTGATTGTGTGCAAGTACGTGTGGGCAGGTGTGTCTGCACGTTTGTGGGTGAGTCTGGGTGTGCAGGTGTGTGTGCCGGTGTGGGGGGTGTGCTGGATGTGTGTGAGTGAGCTGTGGGCCTGGGGAGTGATTGCATGTGTGAACACATGTCAGTGTGTGGGTGTGGACACATGTATGCTAGTATGTGGGAGTGGGCCAGGATGTGAGGGGGTGTCTGTACCTCCACAGTCTCAGACAGACACGTTCTCTGTGTGGGGGTGTGTGTGCATATGTGTGTAGTGCATGTGTGTGCCTGCATATGCATGCATGTGTGTGTGCATGTGTGTGCATATGTGTGCACATGTATATGTAGGTATATATCATCGCCCTTTGTATCCATGGGTTCCACATCTGCAGAGTCAACCAACCTCAGATTGAAAATATTCTTACAAAACAATAAAAATAGCAAACAACAATAAAAGTTAATACAAATAAAATAATATAAAAATAATACAGTATTTTATTTATACAAATAAAAGAATACAGCATAGCATCCATTTACCCAGCATTTGCATTGTGTTAGGCATTACAAATCACCAAAAGATGATTTTAAGCAAATGGGAGGATGTGCACAGGCTACATGCAAATACCACATAATTTTATTTAACAACCTGAGCATTTGAGGATTTGGGGATTTGAGAAGGGTCCCGGGACCAATCTCACATGAATAGTAAGGGATGCGTATGTGTTTGCCTATGTGTGTGTTTGTGTGTGTGTTTGCATGTGTGTGTCTGTGTACGTGTGCATGCATGTACACATGTTTAAGCCATGAACTGAGTCTGCCAGACCCCATGCCAGGCACATCACAGGTGTGGCCTCCTTGACCCCAGAGCCTTTGTATGTGATCATCTCCCTTACTTTGTACAGAAGGAAACTGAGGCTTAGAGAAGACACTTCCACAGGGCCTACTGGCTCTTTTGTGGCTGGGCCTCAGGACCCAGGCCCGCCTGCTCTGGAGTTCCCTGTGCTTTTGATCCTGTCCCCATTTCACCTATACCAGGAACTGGGGGTGAGCTCAGACTCTGCCCGAAGTGCTGTGACCCCAGCACTCTCCTCACGGCTGCTGAACAGCCACTGCCCTCTGGTTTTGGGGGCACTGTCCTGTGGGATGCATCTGGCTTTGGGAGCACTGCCCTCTGGGATGTGGGTCTGACTGTCCCCTCCCCAATTCTCTTTCCCCCCTCAGGCCAAGCTTGGTGGTGAGATCCTGGACTACAGGGACTTGGCAGCCCTTCCTAAAAATAAGGCCATCTATGACATCGACCGCCCCGACATGATCTCCTACTCACCTTACATCAGCCACTCTGCAGGGGATAGGCAGAGCTACGGCGAGGTATGTACCCTGTCCGCATGGCCCTGGACACCTGTGCCCCCAAGTGCTGCCCTGCAGGACAGGCGTCTTCCCTAGCGTGTGTCCCATGGGGCCAGAGCCACTTCCATCTTCACCACTCACCCACATGCTCAGCCTCTTCATGCCCATCAGAGAGCCACTTGCATGTCCTGTTTCAGTAACGCCCAAGGCACGGTGGCCCCAAAGCTGCCGTTGCTGAAGGAGTGAGCCTGGAAGCCTCCTTAACTGGAGCAGAAAGTAGGAAGCATGCTGATTTGTAGCAAAGATGATGGCAACTCAGTGAAAATCTCCTAATTTTCTTAAGCATTAGATTATTTTCATAAAGCATGAGATGCATTTCCTCTGTAGAAGACTCTTGGCCCTTGCCACCCTCACTGCCATGCTTCTGCCCCATGCTCCTCTGCCCCATGAATTCATGAGCCAATGTGACCGGCCTGGTCGAACCGCAGATTATTTATTTCCTGGCACGCCTGTGGACAGTGTTCCTTACGCCTTAGAGGTTTCTTATTTAGAGCTGCTCTGTCCATTTCCTGTGGAATGCATTGTTGGTTTTTGCTTTTCCTCTTGTGGTTCTGAGGTTTCAACACGACCGTGGCTGCCTGGGGTAGGAGGAGGCGTTGCCAGGCTGTTGGCCCGAGTGCGTGTGCTTTTGACATGCGTGCCGCCAGGCGTGGGGCTCCCCGGGATGGGGAAGCTCAGTCCTGTCAAACATGTTTCCCTTGGGCCTTCTCGTTTTGAGACTTCAACAAGGGCCTCTAGGGAAGCAAGAGCTGAGACTCCAGGGCAGCACGTTTGATGTGGATGGTGTGGGGCGAGAAAGTCACGGCTGCTGGGTGCACCTGCCGAACTCAAGGGCTGTGCAGGGAGGATGAGAAGAGCTCAGGGCCGGCAGGTGCCCTCCTGACTTGCTTCTGTCCCTAGGGATCACAGAATTTGAGGATGTGGGTGACAAACCCCACTGACAATGAGAGGGACCAGTGGGGGGAGCTGAGGGAGGGCATCCCGACCCGCATCCACCTGCACCCACATGCACCCACCCACCTGCACCCACCTAACAGCCACATACTTGCACCCACCTTTCTGCACCCACCTACCTGCCACCTACCTGCACCCCCCTGCACCCACCCACCACCCACCCACCTACCACCCACCTACCTGTACCCACCTACCACTCACCACCCACCCACCCAAGTGCACCCACCTACC